TGTCACAGGATTTGCTAAGAAGATACTTGTTTTTCTCCATTTGCTTGACAAATTCTACTTGGTTACATAGCCGTTCTAAAGCATGTATAACAAACTGGTAAATTTCTCCAAAACTAACAGTTTGAATTGTGAGTCCTTGGTTTTCCATTGTCTTGGTGGCCTCTTTGCCCAAAGTAGGAGGAATAGATTCTAAATAATATTGCTTGAGATTGACATCATCGATTCCTCCAATTTTATGGTATTTTTTGTTCATTTCCATAAAATGTTTTTCCAGATCATGCCGTTTGAAAGAAAAAAATATAAGTTAGAAGAATTCTTCTCTTGCAGTAATCTGTTCACGTCTGACTGGTCCTGTGAATTCAGCAATGAGATAGCTGAAAAATTCAATAATGGATTGACTGTTTCTTAATTGAGTTTACCTGTATTCTCCAAGGCTGACATACCAGTCAAATAGTCTTCCACGAAACCGAACAATGACTTTCGCAATTGTGTTGGTCAAAGTATTTGCTGGATTTAACATTTCCGCATGCATCCATCCTTGAATTTCTTTGAATCTGTCTATCCATTTCGAAGGAGGGATGTCATCTATGGTAAAGCCTTTTGAGGAATCTCCATAGGTTGGGAGTGGAAGATTGGGAAGTCTAAATTGTTCTGTAGGTATGGGATCTGGGTCTGGTTCCATAGGTTCTTCTGGAGGGTCGGCTTCTGGTTGGTTCATCATGTACAGAGGATCAGAAGTATTAGAAGTTTCAGACAATGTTGTAGCTGTAGAAGTTTCTGATAATGAGTCAGAGGAAGATTGGGTTTCAGAATGAAGGTTTATCTCAGAGGGTTTGGTAAGATTCTTTAAGAATGTGCTCATATCACCAAGAGGTTCGGGTTCGGGTAGTTGTATGGAACGAGAAGTGGATGAGGCAATGATATCAGAATCAATTTCTGAGGGTTGGAACATCTGGGTTTCTTGTTTGGGAGGCTTATCTGTAGGAGGTGTTTGGTTTGGGTTTTTGGTTTGGGAAGGACTAGGTTCTTGTCTAGGTTGTGGTTTCCTTAATTGGGGAAAGAACATTTTTTCTGGAAATCTTCTTTCATCTTCATAAGGATTATAGGATCTTAGTCCAAAAGGTCGAGGTTAATAATTCTAGTAGGGGGATACAAAGTTGTTGTTGGTGGAAAAGGGTCTGGGTTTCTCAAGGTAGGATAATTTGGTTGAGGAGAAAAGGTTGGCAAAGGTTGATATTGGGTTTGGTATGGAGAATGATATTGGGATTTCATCCAATAGTCCTTTTCAAGGCTTTGTAATTGTTTTTCCAAAAATGCTTTTTCTTTCCCTTTGACGGACAACAAATAAGATTGTTCATGCATGTCTTTTACACAATACTATATTTGCAAAAGTTCTTCATGTAACAGCTGAATTTTTTCTTTCAATTCCATAATTATGCGTGTCAACCCTTGGGTGTGAGACGTAAAGGTGTTCTGGGTAGTTTCCAACTGGGCTTTCATAGAATTTTGGGTAGTCTCTAGTCGTAGCAATGCCAAACTTTGAAACTTGGCATTCGCAGCTTGCCAGTTTAGGCTTGCTTCAGTAGATGAAATCTGTTTAGAAGTACCAGAGGAGTCTCTTGCAGGAGGGGTTTTTATTTTCCAAACATGCTTTTCATTCTCTTGTATTTTTTCAAAATCACGAAGAGGAGGAAAACTATCTACATAATTTGAACTGGAAGGGTCAAACATTAAACAACTGTTTTGTATTGGGGAATCATCTTTATCATCCCATCCAGTGGGAATGATAGGAGAAGATTGTGGGACTGAATTGGGAGAAGTACCATAAGTCACATAATAATCCCACTTACCTGAACTTTCTCCTAAGAGATCAACTGTAGGATCTCCATCCTGATATCTTTGATGCAATCGTTGAGAAGAAGATTGTTTCTTTGGTGTTCTTCTTTTTGTCTTTATCTCCATTTCATCATCAGTTTGAAGACAAGAGTCACAGTTGCAGCAGTCAAACCAATTATGGCCATCTATGGTTTTCTGTTCATAAATGCATTGGCCAAGTTTGTTAAATGCAAGAATTGGAACCTTTTCGAGCAATCCTTGGAAATGAGTTGGAAAAATATCTCTAGTTTGATTTTCTTGACTTGAGGGTAGGAAATCAACTTGGACCTGACCATTTGTCAATCTAGTCATTTTGTACTCAGTTTGTAACACTGGTTGGCTTTGAGCTTGTAAATTCTCATAATTTGTAACCCAAGTGGAGGGTATTAATTCAATCAGTCTTTCCCTGGATATTTGTCTGGGTACATAGTGACAAACTGGCTGAGAATTGTTATCAACTTTGATGAACAAAGCAGTGTTTTCTGTTTCAGGGGTTAAAGGTGTAACAATGTCGAATGCATGGTTTTGCAAACGATAGACCATTTGGTAATGAAGAGTGGCTACTGAAGAGGTCTCAATTTGTTTAGTTACAGTTATTTGTAACTGGACTTTGAACGCTTCAGATTGGGGTCTTTTATAGGGATATTGAAATTTGGGAAGAAGGTAACAAAGATGGTGCCTGCATTTAAGGTGGTTTGAATGGTGCCTATACAAGCATGTTGATATTCAAGAAATCTTGTATCTAGCAAAGCAATTCTAGTTACTGCTTCCATCCCTTTTCTGCCATGAAAGGTTAAGGCTAATTTTATGGCTCCAAAATGGATATGGGTATATCCTTCTTTTAACCATAAAGGGAAAAGATGTTTTGGTAGGTTTATTGTAACATACTGTTCAGACTGGGTGGCTGGGATATGATGTTGATCATAGGAAGGGGCTTGGACATATTCTTTTATGGACTCAGGGTTTTTCTTTCCACGAAGTTTCTTAATCCTTTTAGTCCAGTTTAAGCTTGATTTATCATAAACATGATAAGGATTTGATCAACTGAGGTTGAGTTTCAGAAAATTTTTCAGGAGTATAGGTAATTTCGAAAAGATGTTCTTGTTTTGAAAACATAGGTTCAGAGGTGGATGAACGAGGAGTGTCTAAACTTACTTCTGAAGAAATATCTCCTGCCATGAGTTCGAAAATATCTTGCTTGTTGACTGTAATTTTGGTTTTGGTTTGAAAGGCCAACTTTCTTTTACCTCATGTTAAATGTATGATCTCCGCTTTTAGGCCATTCCTCAGCCGCTCAGAGTTCCTGTTATTAACATGTAACTCAAGAAAGTTTTTAGCAGTGGAATAAAGTCACTGAAATTAACCTTTAAGTTATATTTTGTGTTCTGATACGAGAGATCGTAGACCAGCTACACAGATGTAGAGCATACTAATCTGAATATTTCTTACAGATTAACCAGTCAACATAACAAGATAGAAGATTAAATCTTAATTTAGTGGGTGTTGGAAAAGAAAGGAGTCTTCAGATACTATATTGACTTGGAGAGAGATATATACGAAGGGGCGTTAACTAGTGTGCGAACTAGTGGAGAGACAAGTGAGTTTCCAGTGATAACCTATACCTCTTTGTTGTAGTTATGGGCTTCACTGGGCACCTACAAGTTGAGGTATTGTGGTGTGTATATTGTTTGTGGACGATATAGTTTTGATCGATGAGATCCGAAGCAGCGTCAACACAAACTTAGAACTTTGGAGGGATTCTAAAGGTTTTAAAATTAGCCAGAGTAATACAAAATATATATAATGCAAGCTTAGTAATAATAAGAGTAGAGACAAGGAAGTAGTTAAGATTGCGACCAAGAAATATCAAAAAGAGCGCACTTGTGATATCTTGGTCGATAATCTAGGAAAATGAAGAGATTGAGGAAGATGTCGCAAATAGAATTAAAGTTGGGTAGGCGAATTAAAGAGGTGCAACTGGAGTTTTATGTGATCGATGTATACCAATGAAGCTGAAGGGAAAGTTCTATAGGACAACTGTGAGGGATGGATGTGTGGCTGTAATAGACGATAAAATGAGACAAAGTAGACTTAGATGGGCTGCTTTCTACTTAAACCAACTCACACCTCCTAACTGGTGTTGTACTGGGTATGCGCTGCACATAACCCAAAAGGATATAGTTGGAAATAGCGAGAAAAGATATGCCGACTTATATCCTCACTGAGTGTATGGTCCTTGATAGAGTAGAATGGTGGATCAGGATTCATGTAACCAATCCCGAGTAGTTGCAAAAAGGCTTTGATGATGATGACATGCAATTTTCACGCATCTGAAATGGTTATCACACCCTTTTTGTGGTATCCGTGCATCATACCATGAAATGACGATCCTGCAAATACAATCCTATAGGGGCATTATAAAGCATCTATTTCTTTCAGCCTGTTTGGGAAGAGGATCTTCACAGTAGAAGAAGCAAAAGAGAATTGGTAGAGTGAATTGTTGGCACCTTTTATCTGTTGGCAAGGGACTCCTTTTGGCAAAAAGACACTGCACTTTTTCATTTTCAAGATTTAGAACATATACACATTACAGAAGGAGCTTTTATGGTTGAGCAAAGCTTTTGTGTTACTTTAGGCAAATAACTTCTGCCCTTTCTATTACTTCTCCTTGGAAAGCTGACGTTTATAAGTTGAGCTATGCTTGTTAACTTTGAAATGCCAAGTTTACCTGTTCTTTTTCTTTTTGTTGGTTTCTGCAAACAGTCTATAATTTAGTACTTAAGGTGATCTTAAGTTGTTTCCTCTTTAAAGGCTGTGAAAGACAACCTTGCATGCTGTTTTCCTTAACAAATGATAGCATGCTGCTTGCGACTTTACCACATAAAAGTTGTCCGGTGCTGCCTTGTTTTTGAGATTGCTATTAACTTTGAAATCTGTTCCTTTGGGGATGCTATCTAGGTCCTAGTGTATGTTTCTTTTTCTTGTTTTAAAAATAAGATTTCATTTAATGAAAGGTATTCATCTAGTTGGGGCCATCTAGGGGATTACTACTGTTGTAAATTTGCACCACTTGAGAATAGTGTTTGCCTGCAATTAAACTAAGCATTCATGATTTGTTTTTTCAGGGCATTGAAATGCTGTCTCTTGGTTCATTCAAAATTGGTTCCATTCTCTTGGTATGGACTAATTTGTTATTTTTATGTTAGTGTGCTATAATTTGTGTTATGCGTATAGTGTGGACATGATGCATATCAGATTGCTTGCAGTTGGCTCTGCTTTCTCTGCTAAAATCCTTTTGGTTTCTTTGTGATTTTTTTCTCCTTTTACTAATTTTAACCATTGACAGGCTGGGCTGTTTGTGTACGATATATTTTGGGTCTTTTTTACCCCGGTGATGGTCAGTGTTGCAAAATCCTTTGATGCCCCCATAAAGGTTAGTTTATTTCTCTCTTATGTCATAGTTCTTTTAGATTATGTTGATTTTCACTCACAATTATCAATTACTGAGTGATTGCGTATCTAAGCTATTGTTTTGTCTTGGCTCCATGATTTAAGTGTGTATTTGCTGTGCAGCTTTTGTTTCCAACTTCAGATTCTGCTCGGCCTTTCTCAATGCTAGGGCTTGGGGACATTGTGATCCCAGGTAAAAGTCCTAAGTTCTCAAACACTTACTAGATAAAAAATGGAGCTTTTATCCATATCCAGTTTTCCAAGTGGGCAAAAGTTTGGAGCCTTATTTCTGTGTGCATACAATTATCATTCCCATGCAGTACTTAAAAACTTGGGGAGTCCTACTCAGACTTGCCCGTCACTCAGAACCGGCATCCTGCCAGTTCGGGATGATACCAACTCGGATGATCCGAGGCTTGACTGAGTCCTTCCAAGTCCTGACCGTGTCTGTCTGGTTGTCTAAAAAAACCAGTGAAATGGTCCAGATCTTCACTGTCATACTCAGGGCTTGGCTAACTGACCCGGACCCATCCCCTGCCTGGTACTGTATTTTTAAGCACTGCTCACAGTTACTCTCTCTTTCATGCATCATAGAGGCAGATCCTATTTGAACCTAGAAAGTAGAAACCAAGTGTGATTGGGCAGGATGAGTGACCTCCTGGGAATTCTTCAGTCAACCCCAGTGCTTTTACTCATACCCACATGCATCTAATTGCCCTTCCAGATCCACACTCACATGCATGTAGTCACCCAACCGCATCCATACAGACATGCACCCACCTGCCCTCATTCACGTCCCCATGAATGGATGTCATCTAACTCTAAAGCTGATTGGGATTACGCGTGGATGATCGGGACTTTTAAGACATGTATTTTTTAATGGAATACATGAATTTGTTGTGCACTTAGCGTGCTTGTTAATGAACATACACCATGCACACACACACAACTCTTATGCAGGCATACATATGTGTTTTCCTATTGATGCATACTCACAATTATGCATGCATTGTTGATTGAAGCACCAAGTTGCTTAGATCATGCCATGACACAATAGATGTTTAAGATGCGTGACTAATGTATGTAATATCGTCAGAGATGCTGAATATGGTGTCCTCTCTCAATAGTGAATTCTAAGTCACTTAGTGAGTTATGAAATGTGAATAAGAAGCCAATCAATTTCTTCTTTCTTTCTTCTTTGTTTTGTTTTTTTTTTGGCGAGTAGGGTGTAAATGTTAAGGTCGAAATGGATTTCATTTATCATAAAAGACTGACTCAACTAGACCCTGATGACCATTTGAATATTTGATTAGGGTCTGCTTATTCTTTGGTATTGAATTGATTGATATCATTGTTTGGATAAATCATTGAATTGTTGTCTTTCTTCCTTTCTTTCTTTCTTCTTGTTTTTTATTTTTAATTTATTATTATTTTGTTTGCGAGTAGGGTGTAAATGTTTTGGTCGAAATGGATTTCATTTATCATAAAAGACTTGACTCAACTAGACCCTGATGATGACCATTTGAATATTTGATTAGGATCTCTTATTCTTTGGTATTGAATTGATTGATATCATGTGTGGATAAATCACTTAATTGTTGTCTTATTGTGCGGTGGGAATAAATGTGGCTATTCATTGGCCTGCGTGCTGGAACTGTTAGGTCATGGTATATAATGGTGTTGATATAATAGTTAATGGGTAAATCAATTGGATTTGTCTACAATGTACTTACACTTCATTTTCCTACTCCTTAAACATTACCCCTGCCATCTGTGTCATTCCGCTGTTCAAAGCCCACTGATGGGATAATTCAGTGCCCCCATTGAAACTTTCCCAAATCAATATACCTTAATACTGTTGTTAATGTTACTTTTCCAGATGGACTCTCTCTCTCTCTCTCTCTCTCTCTTTCTCTCTAACTGGTGCATGGAATTTCTCTCTTTTGACTCTTTGTTTTCTGTATTGTTTATATTATAATGAGTAGAAAATTATCTCTAGTGGTTTTTTTTGGTTGTTACGGACATGTTAAAAGTGTGATCCATCCATAAGTAAATGAAGGTTGGTTCCACCATCTAATTCAGTGAAGTTCTATTCTGCTGCAGGTATTTTTGTCGCCTTGGCTTTACGATTTGATGTCTCAAGAAAGACAGGAAAGCGATATTTCTGCAGTGCATTTAGTGGTTATACAGTTGGCATGATCTTAACAATATGTGTCATGAATTGGTTTCAAGCTGCCCAGGTAAGTGATTCTCTCTCTCTCAACCCCCCCAACCCGCTCCCCCCTTGATCCCCACCCCCCCGCCCCCCCAATATGTGCCTTCATCTTCTGGTTTTCAATTGTGCTTTTATTTTGCAGCCCGCCTTGCTATACATAGTGCCTGCTGTTACTGGGTTTTTGTTCGTGCATTGCATTTGGAATGGAGAATTAAAACCGGTATGTTCTGCCCTTTGCTTGCTTTTTATTTATTGTTGTTTTCTATGTTGGAAATGTTATTGGAGAATCAGACATAGTTATGACATGCATTTTCAAATGTTAATGCATCACACTTTGAAATCATGAATCTTGGCATGTCATCTTTTGAAACTCTATGGTTGGGAATTACTGTGACAAGCATGTATCGATAGAATGGAATTCTTCTTGTATTTTGTTGGGCTGGACATAGATATTACTTCTTGACATGACCCTAGTGCTTTAAATAGTGCTTCCCATTTGTTACTGAATCACAGAAGAATCTTTAATTATTTGTTTGTCTTCGATCTTTTGTCACTAAATGCAAAGAGTCATTTCACCAAGTGAGGAGTCCCACCTAAAAATGTAAATAGAGAATGAAATAGATGTTACTTCTTGACATGACGCTAGTGCTTTAAATAATGCTTCCCATTTGTTACTGAAGCACACCAAAGAATCTTTAATCATTTGTTTGTCTTTGATCTTTTGTCACTAAATGCAAATGGTCATTTCACCAAGTGAGGAGTCTCACCTGAAAATGTAAATAGAGAATGAAATAGATGTTACTTCTTGACATGACGCTAGTGCTTTAAATAATACTTCCCATTTGTTACTGAAGCACACAGAAGAATCTTTAATCATTTGTTTGTCTTTGATCTTTTGTCATTAAATGCAAATAGTCATTTCACCAAGTGACGAGTCCTTCCTGAAAATGTAAATAGATAATGAAATAGCACATGATATTCCTGCTCACTGGGGAAAACACTGTCCATTGGGTGGTCATGAGAGAAAGGGAGAGTGTGTGTACAAGATCCCCAATGTTTGGGGGGGGGGGAGGGAGAGAGAGAGAGAGTGTTCCCCACGTCCCTCTATCATAGCCATCTATTGACTGGATGCTGATAACCCAACGGCCTATGTCTTTTCTTTAGTCTGTCTCCAAAAGGAAAGTTTCCCTAATTATCCTTCCTATAACCAAGGAAGGATTTCTCTTTGGGGAAACTAAAAGGAAGTATGAACATGTTCTCTTTTCTCTAGTTAAAAAAAAAGGTGTTTTCTTTTCTACGAGTTTGGTTTCTCACTCTACCTCTGTTAACTGTGTAGATGTTGGAGTTTGATGAGTCAAAGGCTGAAGAGGCGAAAAGCTCAAAGGATTCGGCACAAGACGGCGAGAAAACAAGCGAATCTATACCCAGTAAAAAAGAAGAATAGAGGGATGAGTAACATGTTCATGGTGTGGGCTTGTTTTTAACTTTTGGCAAGATATGCCATTGCCCTCCCATTCAATTACAAAAATAACCCTAGCAAGTTTAGCACCAAGTTTTAGAAGCGAAAAAAGCATGTCAAAAGATTTTGGATTAATAATGAAATCTAACATTAGTCTGTCATGGATGCAATCTCAAATGCAGCATCTTATTTTGTTTCATTTGAATTTTGGTTTGCTCTTTAAGTAAATGCTTTCCGTTCACATATTTTGGGATTTATTCTTTGAATTACTCGTGTGAATTTCCTCATCCCAAAGCCCAAAGCTATACTCTGAATGGGGTACTTTGGTTTGGTGTTCATTTGGGTTTCCCTTAAATATTGATTTGATTTCGATGAATAGGTTCGCATTTCATCCTTTCATGTGATATTTCAGCTTGATTTTCTATTGTGCATTTACATCCTTTTGTATTTTTTCTATATGAATAGAGTGCCTCATTATTTGCAGTTAAGGATGCTTGATAGCCATGAAATGGCGTTGTTCCCATTGAAATGCCTTTTTTTTTTGTTTCTTAAAAAAGAAATGGCATCCTTTTGTAACTTCTTCCCATTTCTTGGTGATGTTCCCATTGAAATGCCATTTTTTTTATTAAAAAAGAAGTCTAGCTTTTGAATCCCTCAGAAGTCAGATACATCGAATAATTGATGCTGGTTTTGTAAGGCAACTGTGGATTCAATGTTATACTCGTTTAAAAGCAGTTAGTTTTTAAAAGTTTGCTGGTTTTGATCCAAAATGAGCGGCGATCTGGATGGCCGTCATATAGGAATCGATCCGATTCTTATAGACTCAACCTGTCCTATCAGGGAGCTAGGAGAGTCCTGTCAAGGAATCGCGAGATCCACGTTGCCCGGCTATGACCTTTATTATTATTATTCCCAGTTTTTTTGTTTTTTGCAGAATTAAAATTCTTTACGATTCCTTTATTATTATTATTCCTAGTTTTTTGGTTTTTGCAGAATTAAAAATCTTTACAGTTGTTTTTGAACGACAATTATTATTATTTTTTGACAAAGAACAATTATTTACCAGTGAAATCAGTCAAGTTCGCCAATCTTTGGATACTGAGTGAGATCCAAGTACTTGGAAACTCGGTAATCAGTTTCCATAAAAAATGCTCAAGGGCTGATTTGGAAGAATTTCAGATAAAAAAGACCTCGTACATATTTTTGGTGGTGGAGTAAGTGTACGATATGCTTCTATGGGATTACATTATTCATGCGCATACTTAATTTTCCTGTCATGGTCTTTTGACTCACTCGAATAAAAAATAGACAAAAGATTCATTTCATTTTGCACTGCTCATTTGTCTTGGTACTTTACTTGGAAAGAAAGGAAAGGGGAGGTCGCAAAAAAAAGTCCACAAAAAGGTGATATTTCCATGCACTTTCATAGCCACACAGTATAAAAAACACATTACACACAAGAGCTTGAAAAGTAGAAAAGAAAATGAAAAGCTGCTTTTAGAGAGAGAGAGAGAGAGAGAGTAGACATCAAGGATTTAACGACTAACATAGAGAAGTGGAAAGAGAGAGAGGAAAGGGCTTGGAGAGAGATATGTGGAGGGAAAATGGGGATGAAGTTTGAGTAGAGAGAGAATATACGCATGGCCAGAAAGGGGAATTAGTGGGGGAGGAGAGAGTGCGGAGTATGTCAGAAAAAAGATGTTAGAGAGAGGGAAAGGGTGTTTAGGGCCTCAGAAGAAAGAAAGGGTAAACAGTCAAGAAGATGTTAGAGAGAGAAAGGGTGTTTAGGGCCACAGAAGAGAGAGAGAGCCGAAAAAACAAAAACCATAACGAAAACTTATGGAATTAGGGCCCATGCCCGAGGCGAGGCGAGGCGAGGCGCACCAAACTACGTGCGCTCGATGTAACCTCCGATGTGACCACCGTATTCAGTTGTTGTCCCCGCAAGAACAAGAGAGACAGAGAGCAACAACACCATAACAAGAGAGAGAAAGAGATATACCAAAAGAAGGGGGAGCAAGGCAGAAACAAGAGAGATAGGAAGACCAAAACCAGAGAGGGAGAGAGAGAAAAAGACCAAAAGAAAGAAAGCAAGAAAGAAAAACTCAAAAGTCACAAACGCTCGCTCTGATCCACCACCAATCTGTTTCTCAGCATCACCACCACCTCTTGCAAAGCTTCGAATGCGCCTCCCTCCTCCTCTCTTCCCATCAAAACCTCCGCTAAATCAGCAGGTGTCGCCTTCACTCTCTCTAACAACCCATCAATCTCCTCCATCAACCTCTCTCTCTCTAAAATCTCCAGAACCCTTTCTCTCTCCAACCCATTTCCCATCAATCTCTCTCTCTCTACCCGATCCCCCACCAAACTTTCGCTATCTAACCCCTCCCCCAAATAATTCCTCGCCAAAACTCTGAAAGCTTTTCCCCCGCAGTAAGATAAATGAATGTGAAAATCCATGCGCCCTGGCCTCAAGAGAGCAGGGTCCAATCTCTCCTTGTAATTAGTAGTAAAAATCACAATTCTCTCTCCTCCACAGGAAGACCAGAGCCCATCACTGAAATTCAGAACCCCAGATAGGCTTACCCCAAACGTTTTGGCCGGGCCCTCTGCCGAGCCCGCTCTCGGGCCCTCTGCCGAGCCCTCTGCCGAGCCCTCTGCCGAGCCCGTGCCCTCGCCCTCCGCCAAGGGCTTTGCGAGCCTCTCGGACCCGGCTGTGCGGTTCGAGAGCTGGACAGAGCAGTCGATGTCTTCAATTACGATCACCGAGCGGGCACTCGTTTCCTGCAACAGAGACCTCAGTTCCGTGTTGCTCAGGACCGAGCTCAGCTCAAGATCGTAGATGTCGTAGTCCAGATGGTTCGCTATGGCTGCAATCAAGCTGGTCTTGCCGGTTCCCGGAGGGCCATACAGGAGATAGCCCCTCTTCCATGTCTTCCCGATCCGATCGTAGAATTCCCGGCCGTCCACAAACTTATCGAGGTCATTTAGTATTCGTGTTTTCAGGTGAGGATCAATGGCGAGGGTCTCGAACGTCGACGGGTGGTCGAATGTAACAGAGGACCACCCACTACCCATCTTGTTAGCATACAGCTTCCTCGACTTTTCCCTCTCTAACAATGCCTGGCCAACATCCTCGACATGAGGCAGATACGATTCTCTGACTAGGTCCTTGAACTTGCTCCGAAAGCTCAGCTTCAGGCAGCGGTGCTCCCTTGAGTTGCCGGGAGTTTCTTTCACAAGAACCGACCACCTGATCCGAACCCCCTCGAACTCGTCCTCGAAGGCGGTATCGAGGGAGTTGTACTCGTTTAGAGAGAGAGAGTGGATCTTTGAGTTTACCTGTTTCGAGAGGCGGAGCAGCGGGGATGAGTCGGAGAAGCGACTGAGAAAGTAGGCCCGGAAGGTTCGGAAGAGAGGATCGGAGAAGCCATTGGTAACTTCTTCCACCAGGAGATGGGTCCAGAGAGAGGCAAAGCGTTGCTCAATGTATGAGCCCAGATATGAGAACGCCTGGTTCGGAAAATAGTCACTGAGAACTGCTCTTAAAAAGACAACAGTGGCCAGGAGGGAGCCTAGAGAGCCAAGAGAGTCTAGAGAGATAAACCTGGTCATAACATCCATCTTTCTGTCTCTAATGATCTTCTTGGGGCTTTCTCTCTTTGTGTAATGTTCTTCTGGGTAATGGTTTTTAGGGTTTTCTCTCTCTGTCTTTGCAATGGCCTTCTGGAGTCTGGAGCAACAGACTCCTTGGCTTTTTGCTGTCCCTTTATACGGTTTTCTCTCTCTCTCTATCTGCCCATTCATAAGGCTCTCTGTCTCTCTCTCTTTATAATGGCTTTTCTCTGTTTTTTTTCTTTTTCTTTTTTAGGTAATTTGGGTGCGGGGGGAGTACCACAAACAATAATGGTTCTCTTGCCAGAATGGTCACCTGACCAGGATAAAGTTGCAATGATGAGAGACAAATTATTAAAGAAAGAGGGACAAACACGAAACAATCACAATGCCTCTCTCTCCACCTCTCTCTAGAATGGGTGGACTTAGACTTTACCAGTAAACGTTACGGTGATGAGAGAGAAAGCTAGAGTCTACAACCATCCAAATAGCGTCTCATCCTCTCCACTCCTAAATAATATTTCTCTCTCCAACAATTGTGGCCTTACACCGGTGTTCGAACCCGAATCGTTAACCGCACATGGCCCAGAAGCGGTTTAATAGGTAAATCGATCGATTCAATTGTTTTAACAAGACGTCTAGGACAATCAAATAAATGTTAAAAATAAAAAAGATGCAAAAAAAAAAAAATCTACCAAAACATGAAATACATATAAATAATGATTAAAACAAAACACATTCAGATAAAATTAAAAATTAATAAAAAAATAAAATTTATTTTTTTAAAAAAAGATGATAAAATATAAAAAGTGAGTATTAATGACCAAAACAAATTTTAATATTCACCATAATGTAAAGAATATTAAAGAATGCATTACAAACCAAATTCATTATTTTGAAGTATATATATATACCGGTCAATTGTCAAAACTGTCCAAAATCAGAACTACGGGACATCGAACGGGTAGTTACTGGTTAGATCGCTTGGTTTTTCTAACAATATCTTAAACATTACTATGACGACATAACATCTTGGTCTGGCATGGGCCTGGCCCTCAAGCTATATTTTGTGGCCTATGCCCAAGTTTTTTAGGGTCGGGCTGGTACGCCCGGCTCATTGCCACCCCTACTCACCCATGTTAATTAATATATATCTCTTATGAGTGTTTTTTTATAAAGTTTCCCTTTTAAATTGAATTCTAGGATTGGATCGTTGTTCTCCCTCAAATTTTCATTATTAGGTTCATATCCCTTCTTGTCTATTGGTTTTTTTTATTATTATTATTATTTTTCAAACTTAAATTGTTTATATTTCAGACTTTGAAGGTCCAAAATTAAATTTAAATAAAATTTGGGGATAAAGACAATTCAAATTGTCCTTCAACCAAGAGGTTTTTCTCATTAGATAATTTAGGCTTTTAAATCGACAACTTTATACCTTAAGGTATGGAGTTGTTTGAAGCCTGCGAGCTCAACTTCAAACCTTAACGTAATTTAAAAAAAAATAAAAAAAATCATAAAAAAAGCTTTTGAAAAGAATTTTTCAATATTTTATGGGATCGTAACATAAATTTATCTTTCCTTACTAGAAAAAGTTAGCAAAAGTGGTCACACACATATTTATCTTTCCTTACTAGAAAAAGTTAGCAAAAGTGGTCACACACACAAGGGATGCAAAGTACAGTCCGATTTCGGAGCCGTCCTTTCCTACAGTCAGAGTTGTTATAACAGTAACTAACGTTATTTTTGAAAATTGGGTTGGATCGTTGCTTACTGGGTGTGTGCTTTTCTTACTTGGAAGGTTAGCAAGCATTAGGGGCCACACAATTTTGCAAATTGTCGGTGATGTGGTCCCCGCTTCCACGCCAGCATTGTCAACATCATCCCTCTCTATTTCTTCCGCCCTTTTTTCTTATTTTTTTGGAAAACTTATCCTATACGTACTTTAATTTTCGTCTAAATGAAAAAAAAATTTCAACTTCTATAAACTTGGTCTAACACATTTTTTTTTTTTCAATTTTGACTTTTTTTTGCTATTTTTATCAAAATTACTTTTACGGTAGTCGTATTACCGTAATGACTATCGCATTACATTACTTAAAGTACTGTAATGATAGAGCTTTCAAACCATTGCGAATGCTATTTTGATAAAAAAATTTCAAAATTTAAAAAAATATAGTGTAGACGACATTTATAAAGGTTAAGGGTTTTTTTTAAATTAAACAAAAATTAAGATATATTTGTGATAATTTTTTTATCTTTTTCCTTTACATATTTATAGCAATGGGAAAATTCCTTCTTCTAACTTCCCGTTATCAAACGCACCCTAGTAACTTCCTTCTCCTAACTTTCAGTTATCAAACACACCCGTAAAAGAATCTCTTGTGGATATTCTTGAAAATTGACTAGGATTGGCAATGGATAGGGCGGCATGGATAGCTAATACATGTAGCTTTTTAGGTTGGATACAACTTTGAAGTGCATGGCTTGGGTTCACGTCTAATCGGTGTGCGCCGGTTGCTTCATGGCACCATGTAAGTACCCCATAGAATTGTACATCACTCCTTGACATTCATTCTTATAAATCTAGTATAAAAATATTTAATATCATCTAGAATCCTATTTTCACACTAATCTAAATTGCGCACAAGGTGTCATATAAAATAAAAATAAAAATTGATACTTCTAACACTCATGTCTAAGTCAAATATTGTGTTAAATATTTATCTAGTAAGCAACTCAGTGAATTACCAAACCCTCTTCCTTATTTGGATCAACGATTATTCAAATACTGGACTCCAATATCAAATATCATTCTCGAGCCGACATTCAAGTAGCATATTCGTCTTACATTACAAGAAAAGAAAAAAAAAAAAAGTATCTTACTGTTATTGCTTTTAAATTTTTCACAATGATATTCCCAATTTTTACCATGGACTTATAAAAGCTTTAGGCATCTCATTGTCCTGTTATTAGCATTTCATCTTAAAATATTCATATCCATGCATCCAAGGAGGATTTGGTATTTTCATCTTTCTCATGGTGAGTGATGATTTCATGTCCTTTTGCAATATCCAATGGCCCATTTATATTCTCTTTAGTCTTCGGTCTTCAGTTTTCACCTTTCCAAATACAATATAAATTTCCTTTTTGTATAGCTCATTTCTTTTACTGCCACATAGGTGATTCCTATTGAACTTTCTGAACTCTGTCCACGAATAACGATTTAGATGCCCATTACCACGCATGTTGTAATTTAAGGAACTTATTTAAGATTTCGTTTCATAACGCCTAATAAATATAATATAAAATGGGATGGCTCGGCGTGAATCATGAAGAAGTTCAAATTATTATTTTTGGAATTTTGTGTCAATTCAATGACACTTTTACAACTATTTATTTTGAAATTTAAGAGACAAGAATGATTGTGACTTCCATGTAAAAAAAAATAAATAGTAAGTCTCTTTATAGACTATCCCATAAAGTTATGGTGAATAAAGGAATCACCACATGGGCTGGACTTGGATGGTGATGGAAGAGAGAGTTGGACTTGTCAAATATAGCATAATTTCAAATTTATTTCAAGAGCTTATGTAAGTCAATGGGTTTAATAGCTACAAAATAAGCCGAGTTCCAAAATATATAGCTATTGATATGTTTTGGGCCAAAATTTTGTACAATTTTTTTATTTAAAAAAAGAGTAATGATCGTATAAGACCCTCCCACACCCATATGTGCAGGACTTTAAAGGATCACCATCAAATTTGGTACATATCTCTAGAAAAGTCAAATCCCACATCCATGTGATAACTTTTCTTGAGATATGTGTCAAATTTAATAGTGATCCTTTGAGATCCTACACATATGGATGTTGAAGGGTCTCCTAGGTTCATTACTCTTAAAAAATCAATAATTTTACAAAAAAATTAGTACGAAAACGCTTAGATCCACCGTCTACCAAATGAACAGCTTGCGTTCACCAAAATTGACAAACTCATTTCCCCATCTCTTAAGGGCCAAGAGGGGGTGACCCTTTCCTCTCTTGCGTTTCCCCCCATTTTTTTAAGGAAAAAGGCTATAGTACACCCATAGTTTTAAACATTACTTTAAAATCTGGTAATTTCTGATCTGAATGGTCGATTCAGATATAAATCGTTCGGAAGCAAACTAATTTTAGGATGGCATTGGTCCTAGCTTGGCTCCCCTCCTTAAAACTCCGCTCATATTTTTTTGTTGTCTTTCTTTATTTTAAGCTTATATGATGTTTTTTTTTAAAAAAAAAATCCACATCCTATAAAGTTCTATTTTAATTTTTAAATTTTTTTAATATTTTTTGGGGCACCAATTTGGGCAAATTCAGACTTGGTCTAAATTGTTGATCCCACAATTCGACATAAATGTGTAGATGAACAATATGCCCCAATGATTCGGATTTTAAAAAGATTAATTTGAACTGCACATGACATAATTTACCCAAAAAAGGATGATGTTATACACATTAAGAAAAAAGAGAAGAGATGCTCACATGAGATTAGAATCTACATAAGAGGCCGTTTGGATACATGAAAATATATTATCTGTGAAATTACATTACTTGCAAATGGATTGTCATTGTTTGGGTAGTATTTAGATGCAACTTGGGAAATATATTGCTACTGTTTGACTATAAATATGAAAAATATAACTATGTTTAGCTAACATGATTAGACTTTGGTTTCAACATGATAAGTCATTGGAATAAGATGATTTTATTATGACAAGCCTCATTTTTATTTTATTTTTTATAGAAGTCTTTCAATTGTCTCTCTATATGTAATTTCAAATAAGCAATAAATTTATGATACCAAAATAAAAAATTGTATGGTACAAGTTAAAAAATGGGAATAAGTTTGATTAATTAATTAGAAACTTTGATAATTTCAGTGGAAAATTTGAAGCATTAGATGAGACTAATGAGGTATCTTAATTCAATTGAGCTTTTACTAATCGCTTATGAGGATTATGTTGTGTGAAATTTTTTATTACAATTATGTTGTGTAATTTCTTATTAATTACCAATTATTATTTTTATTATTTTTGTTTTTATACGAGAGCTGATGGTGGGCTACAACCCAAATTAGGGATAGAGGGATGTAGAAATTTTTTTATTATGACAGTAGAAAATTGTTCGCTATTAATTTCTACAACTGTTCAAATCAATT